TGCCCTTGTTCTTGAAGTTTGGGGCCTTAGGGGCGAGTGGTGGACGCTGTTGGGTCACATTGCGTCCCTTAGGTGGGGCACTCTGTTGACCTTGGGCTTGTGGTGGGGATTACCGCCCATTGCCACAGCTACGACGATTTTTTCGTCGTTTATGGCTGCTATAATTAATGGCATGTACTTCAGGCACGACGTTCGAGCCAATTGGTCCAGCTTGATGATTCTTCATCAAAAGCTGGTTCTATTTTTCAGCAAGAAGTAAAACATAGATCAAATCCGAAAACATGGTGAATTTATGTGCCCTATATTATTGCTGCAGGACAATATTGGTGGATTGGAAGGTCGAATAGGTCTTCTCCAGGAGATCTGATTCGGTTAGTTCCACTTTGTAGAATTTCAACAGTGAACGGATTCTACAAACTTCAAAGTTGTATTCATTCATGGACTCAAAGTCCTGGAAGCGAAGATGCTGCCAGTCGTGTCTTGCTTCAGGCAAGTATATGTCTTTCTGGTGATCGAAACGGTCGGCCAAAGCATGCCAGATAATGCGTGGGTCCTCCTCAGCAAGGTACTCAGTCTGCATTGCATCATGGATGTGTATTTGAATAAAGATCATTGCAGTAGCCTTCTGAGCTTTGTCAACAAGTTTGTCAGCGATAGGTGCCTCGATAGTGGTTCTAATGCCCTTTGCAGTCAGATGGAGTTTCACGTCTTGAACCCACTTCAGATAGTTTCTTCTAGATCGAGCTTGTTCAAGTTCGACATGTCCCTCAAATAGAGGGAAAAATGTGATTAGTCATATGGTAAGTCATAGACATATATCGTAGAACATACAAGTTCTATAGACATGTATTGGTTTAATTTATACATTAAAATTACAAGTTTCATGTGGTATGTTTTGAATAAAAACTTCAGGTTTCGAAGGCAATAAATTTGAAACTACAGGTTCAATTTAGTTTTAAGAACAATTAGTTCATAATGAGAGGTTCCTACAAGAAACACAGAATGCAATATACTAATTTAAATATAGTGGATTTGAGGTACTTCGAGAACTCAACTGTGAGAGCTTCGTTACTATTAAAGTATGTCACGGTTCAAAATATAAAAATAAATTATTGAAGCGTTAATGTCCAAAAGTGATCTTCAGGTCAATAATTTTAGATTCATTATCAGATTAATGGACTACATGTCATTTTTAATTAATTCAATAAATTGGGTCATACGGGATCGATTGTAGAAACTAAATAATATTAAAATAATATTATTAGATAGAAAATATAGCCCCAAAAATATTTGGGCTCGAGTTGGGTGCCTTGAGGAAAAGGCAAGGCCCAAAAGGGCCTCAGGAGTGGGCTGCAAACCACAAAGGGGTGGAAGAAACCCCAGCAGTAGCTGGGTTTCACTTTTTGCCTAGGGGAGGGCATGGCACAAGGCCCAGCGAAAGTTGGCTGGTGGGTTTGCTCGGGAAGCCCAGCCACATAAGCTGGCTGCAGGTGATGTGTGGAGTGGGCCGCAGGGACCAAGCCCGACCTTGTGGGCTAGTGCGGAGGACACGGGTCGTGACAAGGGCCAAGGTGCAGGCTGCGGGCCTAGGCAACACAAACCCAGCAACCATAAAGGTTGTTGCGTGCAGAGGGGAAAAACCAAGTCAATCTGGCCATGGTGCAAACGAGTGAAGGGCTTCAGGCCCATCAAATTGACCCCAAGCCGAGACATGGTTTCTGCATGCACAGTGATGGTGCGATGGGTGTATCGCACCATGTCTAATTTCCCTTTTTTTTTTTTTTGGAAATCCCTTAGGGTTGAGGAAACCCTAAATATGCTTCTAATTTAATTTTATACATTGACTCACATATTTCACATAACAATTTAATTGTGCGTTGCATGAAACAAATATATATATATATATATATATCGAAGGGAAAATATAAACATAGAGGGGTTCATGCATTATGGGAAATGTTTCATATTTCGTGGACGTTTCAAATATCTTCTTTTATTTTAAGCGTACCTGATTAACAAAAAAACAAAAATAAGCCTTTGAATTTGGTGGAAGATAGCCTCCTTTTACGATGCGTCAATTCCTTAGCTTCTGGCAAAAGCGTGCTGATAACTTGTTGTAGGCCTATTTGATTTAGCGATCTAGGGTTTAGAGAAAGGGGGCAGACAATATTGAGGGAGAATAGAGAGTATTTAATTGTGAGGTGTGTTTGATTCACCCTATTGTGCCTTTATTTATAGTAGTAGGATAGGTAGAAATATTTCCCTTTAGGATTATAACATTTAATAGGTAATCTACTCCTAATAGGAATATAAGATACATTCTCATATCTACTAGGATTTACACAATCACATTCCTATTCTAAATATGACTGCAACAATAATCATATTTATTAATATTTTTTGTTTCGAAAACGTTTTTCATCATTTTTTTTTTTTAGTGAAAGACGATATTCAATATTCATTTCAAACAACACAGAAAAAATACAATCTGAGAACAAACTGAGGATAGTGTGCATAGTGGGCCTCAATAAAACCTTGCCGGAACTTTCAACTTGGTCGAAGGAAAAAGAGTGTCCCACACGACGAAATGACCTATCCTCAAATGTCAATACATAAGCAAATTACAAAATATCCCTAAGCAAATCAGGGGATCTTCCGCCCATAAACTTGTTAGCATTCAACCATTGTTATGCAGTGAGCGTTAACCGTGCGGCAAAGCATGCGACCATGGTTTCCACACGCTATGAAACCAGCTTGAACCATCAGCTGAAAATGTCTCCAACAAAGTGGATTAGTTGGACCAAACAACCACTTACCTATGCCCATAGAACTACGAACACAAGATCAAGGTAACTCAACGCCAATCGCCGTATACAAATATCGTGCAGATGCTCTCCTATAGAAATCGAAGAAGACCTAGGAACCCTAGAGAGTAATTTTCCTGGAAGACCAGGACTAAACTAAGAAAACTAAAATAAACTAAATTAAATAAAACTCGCCCGAAGCAAACAAAAGGAAAGAACCGAGAAGGGAACCACAATCCAGCACATTCGACCAGTGCGAATGTCGGCTTCCACACACCAAAGACCATAAGAGCAACTGCCAGAAGCACAGTCAGTGCATCCACCGAAGCCATCGGGGAAAGTGACACCACCATGGAACCGAGTTGGCGAACGGGATCCAACCTACCTGTAGCACAGATCTAAAACCCACACCAAGAATACAAGCACCAAATAAAAAAACATCTTGAAAGGGCATGGCCCGGGTCAGGGTATAGGGCATAGATCCATGGAGGACTGCACCTAAAATGGTGGGAGGGAAGCAAGGGAGTGGAGGGGAGGTTGTTAGAGGCCGGGTATGAAGGATCGGGGGTGGGAAGAAACTCGAGTATGGCATGGGTGAAGGATGGATGTGATGGGAAAGAAGGGGGGATTGAGAGGGAGGAAGAGCTATGAGAGGAAGGAGAGAGGCTGCCACTGGCCCCCTGCCATAGCCAGAGGCCGACGGCTACGGGGTTGACGGTTAGGGTTTTTTCTTCTGGTAGAGAACGTTTGGCTATGACAAATGTTGTTTTTCATCATTTTTTAATATTTTCAATTTTGATGAGTCATACTAGTACACGTGTTGGCGTCACAACATGGACAGGTCACCTGTTTAGGAGCAAAGTCCAAGTATATATACAAATTCTTCCAATTTAAAGATAATATTCGACTCAGTTGCCAAAAAAAAAAGATAATATATGACTCCTGTTTTCTCGTGAAGGAATAAAGAGATTCATGAATCGCCCACGATCCACGACCATAAATCAAGTACTAATAGGGAGAGACAGTTGAGCTGAATTCAAGGAACTTACTTTTGTCTAATATTACTTTATCATGTAATAAGCATTATTACATAAAAAAAATTATGAAAATTATGTGACTTTCGTTTCATGTGAGTCTCAAGACTCATTAACTTGGGATGGCACGTTCTAAATTCAATTTATGTCGTCTAGTATTAGTAAATCAGACGATAGTAATTAGAAGCAGACTAATCTTAAAATGATGGACGCTAAAAGCATCTCCTTTGGAGATGCCAAAATGCACATATCAGCTATAACAGTAAAAAAAGACCACACTAATATTCTTAATCCAAACTGTCAAATCCTATGTATCGATGACATGGATTGGCAGTAAAAGAGGTTGCTATCAAATTTGACAGCAGCTTCAAATGTTTTTTTATTAATTATTAAATGTACTTTATTAATTTTTAATTAGTTTAATCATTTATTATAATTAATGTTGAGTTGACTGATTCAATTATCATACTTTTTTCTTCTTTTCAATCTAGGAATGTGAATAGATTGCTGATTAAACTTTAAATGTTCTTTATTAAACTTTAATTAGTTTAATAATTTATTTTATAAATTTAAAAAATAATAATTTAATTTGATATATAGGTTGGAGAACAAAACTTAAAAAAATGTTAAAGTGCCACATAAGCTGTCAAAATTTAAATTTTATGATCAAAATTAGATATCTCCTTTGGAGATGGTCTAATCCACACCCCCAACTAATCCTTTTTTTTTTAGTTCATCGATATTTTACATTAAGAAGATGGGGAGTTCGGCAAGGTCACATAATAGGTAGTCTAATTTGGTATCAAATTCGTCATCCACGAGAATCAAACTTAAATCTCTTACTTTGAAGTGAAGAGCAATAATAACATATAAATCCTCTTTTAAAAAAATTTAAAAAAAAATTAATGTGGAACGGCACAAAGTGATCTTATCCCCAATAAAATAAGCAATTGTTTGGGAAAATGCCGCATCTGCCTGTCGGCCTCTGCTTTCGACATCAACCAGTTCACCGACCCAACCAATCCGCTCCAACTTATCCTCTTTCATTTGTTTAAGCTATAAGCCAATTCCTATAAATTCCACATTCAGTTGCCTGCAGTCCATCTTCTCTATTTTCCTCAACACAAAATCTTTAAACGTACCCTCTTCCTCCTTTTATCCCATGGATCCCCTCTCTGGTATTAAGATACCCAAATGGCGGAAAACCATAAAAACACTGCTAGTCCTAGTGCATTGCTTCAAGATCTTGGTGGTAGTGGCACTTAGCCATCTAGGGTTCCTGAAACCTCCACTGCAAATGACTGAGTCCATGGAAGAACAGCATAGCCAAAACCCTAACGGTCATATTCTCGTGTTCGACCCTCTGTGCCAGTCGATACTCCCCGTTCCGATCCACGTCTTAACAGCGTATATCAAGAGGCTTCCGGTAGTGGAGTTTGGTCGAGTTTTCGAGAAATACACAAAGCAAGAAGATGAGGAGACAGAATGCAGTATTTGCTTGGAGTGCATTGAGAGAAGCCATGAAGTGAGGGAACAGTGCAACTGCAATCACTTGTTTCACGGGGAGTGTTTAGATGGTTGGTTGAATCAAGAGCAGGTGACCTGTCCTTTGTGCAGAGCTCTGCTGTTTCCGGCCACCAGCGAAAAGACGAGCTGCGGCGGAGGAAATGTATGGACAGTGGACAGGAATGCATACTTTGAATCTTTGATAGGTTAGAACTTAGAACTAGAATTTCACTGTGGGATGAGTAATTTTTTGTAAACTCTTTCCCACAAGCCTCCCAGACTTTTAAATTCATTTTTTCTATATTCAATATTTTGTATAAGATTACTAGTTTTTGCTTTCTTTTTAGGTAACTCAATGGGTAGCCTGTTGTACAGAGTATGACCTAAGTGCATTTAATATTTTGTACAAGATCACTTGTTTTTGCTTTCTTTTTAGGTAACTCAATCGGTTGCCCGTTATGCAGAGGATGATTTAAGTGCAATGTTTAAAATATAGGTATTAGTGCAAATAATGATACGCAAATCTGTATAATTATAAATACATATATTGGTATTTATATCGATATGGATTGTTTTTTTATGAAAATGATCGGATGAAGTTTGAATTGATATGTCAGTTTTAGCTATTTAACAGTTTTAGCTGAAATTATGAGTTTCATTGATATGGGATGTGTAAGGAGATGAAGGTTCCAGATGATGACAAGTGTCAAGAAGTTAAGTAATAAGTTGTTAGGGCTGTTGAAAACAGTTAGCAGAATATACTTAGTGTGTAAGACAAAATGTAATGACTATATATATACTTGTATTGCTACGGTAAGATTCATTCAATACAATTGAGATATTATTCAGTAACAATTTCCTTCTCTTCGAAGTTTTCCTCTTCTCTCTATATGCTTTCTCTCTCTGAAAACACCACTGCAGAAGCTTCATCTTCTGCATGTTTACAAGGTATTTTCGCTAGTTGAGGATTCACTTCTTCGATCCTGCGATCTGTTCTGCTTCCGCGCCCTCTCTCTGACGATTGGTACATGTTTTTCCTTATCTGATTTGATGCTGCCAGTTTCTACTTTTGTGAAATTGTGATATGTGATTTGCTTCTACTAATTGCTCACCATGTGTTTGAAGAAATGTCTGACTAAAAACATTCTCTCTCTGCTCTGAAATTCTTTGTTCCTTATCTCTTGATTTTGATCTCTGCTGCTGTAAATTCCCGATTATGAAGTTTGAAACCCTAATTTTCAAAGATTTTCAAGAAATTCCTCAATTCTTTGAAATTGCGATAGAAATATGGTGACTTCTACTCAATTGCAAATTGTGCAATCTTCGATTACGAATCTCATTCCAAATGTGAATACATTCGTGACTGTGAAGTTAGATGATACGAATTATCTTGTTTGGCACTATCAGTTACAATTGTTACTTGAAAGTCATGGAATTCTTGGATTTGTGGATGGATCTCGTCAATGTCCTACTAGATTTGAGAAAGATTCTGAGCTTGAAGGAGTTGAAACTGATGATTTTCAAATCTGGAAGATGTATGATCGTGCTCTCATGCAACTCATCATTGCAACACTGTCTCCCACTGCTATGTCCTGTATCATTGGCTGTGTGACTTCATATGATATGTGGACCAATTTGAATGATAGATTTTCTACTGTAACCAAGGCTAGTATTTTCCAGATGAAAACTGAGTTGCAGAACATTAAGAAATGAGCTGATTCTATTTCTCAATATCTTCAACGCATCAAAGATGCTAGAGATCATTTGTCAGCTGCTGGTGTTACTTTTGAAGATGATGATGTAGTTATTTTAGCCCTCAAAGGTTTACCAGCTAAATATAACACTTTTAGAACTGTTATTCAAGGTAGAGATAATGTCATCTCCCTAAAAGAATTCAGAGCGCAACTATTGGCAAAACAAGCAACTATTGAAAGTAGTACGCTTTCTGAGAATTTTGCAACTGCTATGCTTGCTCACAGCCATAATGGAAAAGGAAAAACTTTAATGCTTGGCGATAATGTACCTGGTAGCTATTCTGGAGGATCATCTCAGTCTCCGGCTTACAATTCTAGCCCTTCTAATGGTTCTCACTCTGACAGTTTGTCACATCACCATGGAGGCTTTACTGGTTCATCTGGTGCCTCTAATTACAATGGAGGCTTTCCTACTTCTGGTTTTCGTGAAATAGGAAGTGGACGAAACAATTTTCATTCTAACAACCGATTCAATGGTGCTGGAATTCTTGGTTCACCAAAGCCTCATGTCTCTACCTATCCCGAGCATGGTTTTGATAATCTTGTGTGTCAAATCTATAACAAGAAGGGCCACCTAGCTTCATATTGTTTTCAAAGGCTATCTAGTCCCATTTCTTCATCCTCCAAAGTTCAATGCCAGATTTGTTGGAAGTTTGGTCACACAGCTATCCAGTGTTATCATAGGGCAAATTTCTCTTACAAAGGGAGACCACATTCACCTAATCTTACTGACATGCATACAACTTATCAGCCTTCTGCACCTCAGGAGTCTTTTTGGGTGGCTGACACAGGTGCTACTTCACACCTGACCTCAGATATTGCTGCTCTCAATATGGCATAACCATATCCAGGCAATGAAACAATCACTACAACAAGTGGTGCAGGTTTGAAAATATCTCATATTGGTTCCACTACCTTAAAAACTCCTCGTTATGCATTTGAGTTGAAGAAAATATTGCATGTGCCTCATTTGTCTCAACATCTATTATCCATATATAGCTTGTGTAAAGACAACAAATGCAGGTTCATTTGTGATGAATTCTGTTTTTGGATTCAGGACAAGCTCACAGGGACAATCCTCCTCCAGAGACTGTGTAGAGATGATCTTTACCCTATACCTTTCCATATTCCACATCATCTAGTTTCTCAAGCACAAAAGCACACTGCATCATTCAAGCAACAAGTATGCTATCTTGGACATCAAGTCAAAATAAATTTGTGGCACAAACGATTAGGGCATCCATCCAACATTGTTGTTTCTACAATGTTAAGTCAATCTAAAATCCCTACATCGGTTGATAATGTGTCTTCTGTTTGTACCTATTGTCTCGAAGGCAAGTTAACCAAACTACCATTTGTGTTTCCTGCACATAAAGTTGTACAACCCTTAGAAGTGATAAATAGTGATGTTTGGGGGCCTTCTTTTACTGTCTCAGTTGAAGGTTACAAATACTATGTAAGCTTTGTCGATGAATGTACCAGGTTTACTTGGATCTTCTCATTAATAAATAAAAGTGAAGTTTACAATGTATTTGTTCACTTTTATAATTTCTTAATTACCCAATTCTCTGCCAACATGAAAGTTTTTCAAAGTGATGGTGGTGGTGAGTATACAAGCCATAGATTTACACAGTTTTTACTTGAAAAAGGTGTCATTCATCATAAGTCATGTCCCTATACCCCAGAGCAGAATGGTCTAGCTGAAAGAAAGCATAGACACATTCTTGAGACAGCTATTAGCCTTTTACAAACTGCAGCATTACCATCCAAGTATTGTTTTCATGCTTGTGCCATTTCTGTGTATTTGATCAATAGGATGCCTTGTCAAACTTTAAAGATGTCATCTCCTTTTTATTGTTTGTTTGGTACTCTACCAACACTCTCTCATCTTAGAGTGTTTGGTTGTGCCTGTTTTCCATTATTAAAACCCTACAATTTTTCCAAGCTACAACCCAAAATCGCACAATGTGTTTTTATAGGGTATGCAGGCCAATATAAGGGTTACCTATGTCTTAATACAGTTTCTGGAAAAAAATCTTGTTTCAAGGCATGTATTGTTTAATGAGGAACGTTTTCCTTATTCTTCTATCACTCAATCTTTTGCTACATCTTCATCATATAAATCATCATCATCATCTGCACTACACACTCCACCTTTGGTCACTTCACAGAATGTCACAGTTTCATCACTTCCCATTTCATCTTCTCCTTTACCCTCTCGAGCCATAGAGTCATCCACTATTGCACCCCCTAATGCCTCAGAGTGTTCCTATACGCATATTCCTTGAGCTCCAGAGTCTTGTCCTACCTCATTATCAACCCCTGCATTATCTATACCGTCTGCTGTCCCTTGTGATCTAGATTTTCACATTGAAAATCTGCAAGTTGTCTTTCCTTTTCCTACTGTGAATCTGCACCATATGCAAACTAGGTCCAAAAGTGGGATAAGTAAAAAGAAGGCTTTCTCTACAAGTGTTCAGTCCTCTGTTTATGTTATCGAACCTACAACTTTTAAGGCAGCTAATAAACTTTCTGAATGGAAGGTTGCTATGCAAAAAGAAACAGATGCTTTACATGCTCAAAATACCTGGACATTGGTTCCAATGCCTCCAAATAAGAATTTAGTGGGTTGCAAGTGGGTGTATAGACTCAAAAGGCATCCAGATGGTTCCATAGCCAGATACAAGGCTCGCTTAGTAGCCAAAGGTTATAGTCAAGAAAAGGGTATTGATTATAATGAGACTTTCAGTCCGGTTGTCAAACCTACTACAGTTAGCTTAATTTAGCTTTGGCTGCACGGTTTAAATGGTCATTAAGGTAGTTGGATGTTAAAAATGCGTTCTTACATGGTGATCTTCATGAAGAAGTCTATATGTCTCAGCCACAGAGGTTTCAGAGTACTAATCATCCTTTTCGTTATGTTTGTAAGCTCAGCAAGTCTTTGTATGGTTTGAAACAAGCTCCTCGAGCTTGGAATGAGAAATTCACTAGCTATTTGCCTGGATTGGGGTTTCAATCTTCACTTGCAGATCCTTCATTATTTGTTCAACATTCCTCTCGTGGCACTATGGTTCTTTTGCTATATGTGGATGATATCATCCTTACAGGGAGTTCTTCTGAGTTAATTGATGCAGTTATTACAGACTTGACAAAGGCATTTGATATGAAGGATCTAGGCCAATTGAACTATTTTTTGGGATTGGAAATCAATTACTTGTCTACAGGACTATTTGTTTCTCAAACTAGGTATATCAGGGATCTCCTTCATAAGGTTGATTTACAAGACTCTAAACCATGTGCTACTCCTTGTTTACCCTATCACAGGTTACTTAAATCTGAAGGTACTCCTTATCACAGTCCTGAACAATACCGCAGTATAGTCGATGCTTTGCAGTATTTAACTTTCACTAGGCCAGACATTGCTTTCTCAGTAAATCAGTGCTGTCAATTTATGCATAATCCTATGGATTCTCATTTTGTGGTTTTCAAGAGGATCTTAAGGTATCTTAGTGGCACTTTGGATTATGGTCTTCATTTTCAATCTGGAAAACTGCAATTGCAAGCTTATTGTGATGCTGACTGGGCTGGTGATCCCAATGATAGGAGATCTACATCTGGACACATTGTTTTTTTTTTGTTTTAGTCCCATCTCTTGGGCTTCCAAGAAGCAACATACGGTCTCTAAGTCTTCCACAAAGGCAGAATATCGAGCTCTTGCCATTGTTGCAGCTGAGTTGGCATGGATTAGGCAACTGCTGCGTGATTTGCATATCCCTCTTGGTGTTGCTCCAGTGATATATTGTGATAATATATCGGGTATTGCTCTTTCCTCTAATCCAGTGTTTCATTCCCGAGAGAAACATATAGAAATAGATTATCATTTTGTTAGAGAGAGGATTATTCGAGGAGACCTCAATGTTCAACATGTTTCTTCCAATGAGCAGTTTGCAGACATCTTCACCAAGGGCTTGTCTACTTCCTTATTTCATCACCATTGTTCCAATCTTATGCTTGGATCCTCCAAGCATATGATTAAGGGGGAATGTAAGGAGATGAAGGTTCCAAATGATGACAAGTGTCAAGAAGTTAAGTAATAAGTTGTTAGGGCTGTTGAAAACAATTAGCAGAATATACTTAGTGTGTAAGACAAAATGTAATGACTATATATATACTTGTATTGCTACTGTAAGATTCATTCAATACAATTGAGATATTATTCAGTAACAGTTTCCTTCTCTTCGAAGTTTTCCTCTTCTCTCTATATGCTTTCTCTCTCTGAAAACACCATTGCAGAAGCTTCATCTTCTGCATCTTTACAGGATGAAGTTTAGACTTTACTCATCTTTCCATATATTTTTCTAATTTATCAGATAATTCTACGAAAATATTAACCGTATTTAAGAAATTTTGAACACTATCTAAATGAAATAAGTTTATTGTTATGCACGTCTTGAATAACTAATATGAAGTATGTCATTGTGTATGTCATTATGTATAGACTTTTAGCATGTCACCATTATATTCGACTTCATTCTCTCTTTTCATATACGGAATTTTAGTATGCCACTGTTTATTAGTTGCAGGAACTGTCACGATAATAAATTAATAATAAATTCGTTTTATGAAAGTCTCAGTTAATACGACATGAACAGTTAAGATTAAATTTAACTTGAAGATGTCACTTAGTACTACAGTCTAATAATATTTCTCTTCATTGGTAAGTGAGAGGTCTTAGAGCAAGTCCAGTGCGTGCTGGAGCCCGAGGGACAATCGCGGGAACAGAGCCAGACAGCCCAAGCAATCAAGCCCATCGTGTGCCAGCCCGAGGGAGAGGCCTGGCACGAGTTGCCAACCTGAAGGCAACGTTTTATTGCCAGAAAATAGCCTGCAAGGGCTAGGTTTCTTCGCCGGATTCTGGAATGGGGAAAAACAGTATGCATGCATGTCAAACCTTAGTAATTTCCAACTAATTTTCACATGCAAAGAGGCATTTAAGTACCTGGAATGGATTCAAACTGAGTAAGAGCTCCAAACCCACAAATTTGTCGGAGTTTACTCTGAGGAGGTGACCAAAAACTGGGCAAGCTTTCAGAGAAATTGCAGGGGGTTAAACCTATGGTTTCAAACTGGAAAAACACCACAAATCTTGTCCCAAGCAACATTAGTTAAGACATAATGAAACAAGATTTGCATAGAGAACCTCACATGGGTTCGAGTTTCAAATCTTAAAGCTCTCGGCTTCAATGGTGGTTTACACCGTGATGGTCCAATGACGCATGCAATTGTATAGTTAGGATCCTTTAGTCCCAAAGAATAAGGTTTCATGATTTTGAAGTTTGATTTGTTTAGAGAGAGAGAGAGAGAGATAGGAATTTTAGAAAAATGGAGAGAAGTGAGAAAGATGAGTGGAAAGAGAGATAGTGACGTGAGTGAGTGGAGAGTGCACAGGAAATTCCAAGCAAGTTGCAAAAAGTATTATTATTTTATTTACCTATTGTCAGTGCTATACAAGTATAGGAATTGAGATGCAAAAGACAATTACTGTTCATTAAGGGCAATTATTGTCCACTAGGTGGATTAAATATTGGATAGCCCTAGGGGCCTTTCCCACGGTGGAATTGCTATTAGGTTCGATTCTCGCTAAAGACGAGTTTGAATCACATTATTATTACTTTATTGTAAAACTAAGCTCATTTATTTCTCTTAGTATAGATAATATCTATTGTTAAAAAAATAAAAAAAATAAAAATAAAAGATGAAATTCCAATGGCTTTTGGGTGCAATAGGGGTCGGAAATGAAAAAGAGTCCCCACCGTAATGAAATATCTGTACAAAGTCTGACACACTCTAGATCGTTGGATTCAACCACTTTGAACGGTTGAGATGGCGTTTTATTTTGCATTTATTTTGTTATCCTATAACACTGATGTGTCTTTCTTGGGAATCTGGGATATTAAATTTCTTCAAATAAATATCTGGCCCGGTCACAAAGAGAAATAGTGGGACCAAAAAGTACATCCTGTACCTGTCATTAAATTTCTTCAAATAATATTAGGTACGTATTTCACCTCCTAAAACCCTATTATCTAAGGCGTTGGTTGTTGTAACTTACGCTTACTTGTCATTAATAAAAATAAGTAAATTAATAATAATTCAGTTATTAATAATTATATTATTTAACTTATAAAATTTAGTCTTATTAATAATATCCGAGATAGAAATATAAACATGTACAATGTTGTAGGTAAGTAATTTAAATATAATGGGAAAATTCAGTTTATATATAATGAGAAAAATCAAAAACTCAAAAGTCCAGCCCAATAAATAAACAAACAAAAACTAAACCCTAATTCTTATCGTCCAAATGTAGAAAAAGCAACATTTACCGTTGTTGTTAATCATCACAAAGTGACTTACTGATTGAAAATGTATTATAGATTCGTATTTTACACGATACATCTCAAATTTGTCTTTTAGTGTTGCGATATTACATAATAATAACACAGGACAAACTAAAATGTTTCTGTGGATCTTTGACCTTTGAAAAAAATATGATGTTGTTTGGAGAACGCACATCAGCACATGGCATCGGTTTGTTCTCATTAGGCGGATAATATTCCATGGCTTTTATGTCACCTTTTAAAGCAAATAATTCAACAAGTTGGTTCTGACTTCTTCGGAAAATGAACCACTTGAACCTGCTGTTTTGGCTTTTAATTTAAACAAAAGCTAGAAAAGTCAAGTGCAGTGAAAATTAATGAAAATGATTCGAAAATTTAAGTTTTAACAATAAAGATAAAATAAAAGGTAAAATAAATAGTATCATGTTTGACTTTTTAAAGTAAAAATATGATTTTTTTTGTTAAAGTGAACAGTACCGCGAACTTTTCGTTAAAACTCCCTTAAAATAATCCCAAGAGAAATGCTAACTCTTTTTTTATTTTTTTTATTATTTACAATTCTTAAGATGTATTTTTCGTTGGATTTGGATCCCATTCCCATTCAAGTTGTACGGAATGAGGATTCTAAAAATTCTCACATCTTAAAAATTCTTATAGTTTAATTGTTTATCGTATATTATGCGATCAAAAATTATATTAAATTTATTTAAAATTAAATATAATTAATATCTAACTAAAAATGATCACATAATACAAGATAAACGTTTATAATTTAAATATTTCTAAAATCCGCACAAAAGATCCTAATCCGTTTTCGTTGGGTTCATCATCCTTGCTAGTTGCATTCCCACCCACCAAAGGCGACTAATATGACACGTAAATTTCATGTGGGCCAGTAATGTCTCATGATGTGACTTCCTGTCTTTTTATTTGAAAATTAAAACTTTTTGCTTAGTGTTAGTATAAAATTAGCTATTTCTAAACAAAACGTCTGAGTTTGTAATGTTTTAGATTAGTATATATTTTTTGTTGTAATTATTTTAATCTGAATTTGTCTCTCGTGCTTTCGATCGCTAAATTGACAATCGTTTTAGAAATATTCACTCGAGTAAGTTTGGCATGAACATGCATTCGCATGATATAGGTTTATGTTCAATGGGCTGTTTAACTTTTAAGTTTAACAATTGAGATACGGGCTTTACATGTTAATTAATTTGCTACGAGTTCGTTTAGCTTAATTAGAGGCCCACATATTAATATCAGATGCCATTTGATTAGTTGTTTTAATCAATTAGGTTGACGAGTCTGATCTTTCCGGTTCTTTGGCCACCTGATTGATGTCTTTAATCTAACAGACACATATTTATAGGTTCATCAGGTTAGGTTTCATGGTGGCGCCGCTTATGCATGAGTTGAGTTTTAGGCTGCTGCATATATCAGAACAGTTTTTCTTGAGTTTTAGTTGCTGCCACACTTCCATTGTTTAAGTCAAAAAACAGAATAAAGGTTTCTGCTATTTTCGAAAAGAACTGCAGCCACTATTTTTCGTCAGAATAAGGTCTTGCAATTTGTGTTGTTAGCATGCGTTGAATTCGTTGGTTTCGTTTTTCACAGAAGAAAATGATTTTGATTCTACTGCTTTGGATTTTTGACAGCATGTATTTTTAAGAGAAAATAATACTTTTTATGTTGTTTTGTTCGTGTTTTAATTAGAAATCAATTATGAAAATGTGCCTTGTGATTTTCATAATTGATTGATTTTTAAAATCATTTTATTTCATGCATGATCGCGGTAGTATCCTGCAAAATTCGAGGAGAAGGTGATTGACGGCCATGTTAGTGTCGTGTAACTTCCATTTGAAGGCTGAAGGAGATCGAGTAGCAAAGCGCGGAGACAAAACCGCCTACTAGTATGCATGTCGAGTTGATGAGTTTTGTAAGTCTTTCTGTACTCATTTCTCTTAGTGTTTATTCTGGCTTGGGAGCCTGAGGATTTTCCCAGTAGTGGGGTTTGCCTCGTTAAATCCTACATCATGTGTGCACATTTTATTTATTGTTTTAATTGCATATGAGTATAATAGTTTGATATGTGATGTGTATGTGGATTTAATTTACGAACTGAAAATTAAATTGAACATTGAATTGGATTTTTAAATTAGAACCTAATCACTCCCCCTCTAGGTTAAACTAGTACCATCCTAGAACTTTCACATAGGTTTATAAGAGATTAGATACTTTTGCCCCGCCAATTCATTGGAGAAATATCCCAATTTCCTTCATACCAAGAGTAGAAATCTTTGGTTAATATATTGAGGAGATATTTTTGTATGTACCACGAACAAAAACAACTACACCTGTTATAATATGAGAAAATATATTTTACAGTGTTCGTCTATTTATTTTATAACACATTTTGTACAACTTATGTTCTCATTATAGAAAAAATTCCCTCGGCAAAGATGGATGAGAAATAAAGGAAAATGATTTCCACACGTTTATTGTCACATCTCGGCCCGGGCCCCCACCACATTTCGGGTTCGACTCCACCATAACACGATATTGACCACTCCATTATTTTGTTTCTGGGAACTCAAGCGAGAACTTCTCAGTTGGTCACCCATCATGGGATTGCTCTCGCGCGAACTCACTTAACTTCGGAGTTCCGATGGAACCCGAAGCCAATGAGCTCCCAAAAAGTCTCGTGTTAGGTAGAGATGAGAATATACATATAAGGCTTATAGGATCCTCACCCATGGGCGATGTGGGATGTAACAATCCACCTCCCTTGGGGGCCCGACGTCCTCGTCCGCACACTTTCGGCCAAAGATTGACTCTGATACCAAATTGTCACATCCCAGCCCGGGCCCCCACCACATCCTGGCTCGACTCCACCGTAGCACGATATTGTCCGCTTTGGGCCCAGACCACGCCCTCACGGTTTTGTTTCTGAGAACTCACACGAGAACTTCCCAGTGGGTCATCCATCATGGGATTGCTCTCGCGCAAACTCGCTTAACTTCGGAATTCCGATGAAACCCGAAGCCAATGAGCTCTCCAAAGGCCTCATGCTAGGTAGAGATGGGAATATACATATAAGGCTTACAGAATCCTCACCCCTTGACGATGTGGGATGTAACATTTATTTCAACTTGTCACACACTTATCTTTGTTTTTTGTCATCAAACTGAAAAGAAAAAAAAATCAAATATAAATAACAATCAAGATTAAATAAAAGTGTGTAAGTGTGTAATTATCATTTCCCATAATAAAATGTTGGGCTTAATTGGATTGTTAGTCTCTATGGTAATAGGATTGTCAGAAGATAGACCTGTGGTAAAAAAAATAAGAAATTAAGCGCTTGTGGCGAAGTTTTTTAGGATTTAAGCGCAAAATTGAAAATTTCGTCAATTCTTTGTTTTTTATTAGCACGTAAGTCACACATGTGAGGCTAAAATGGAACTCTCCCTTAATTGTTAGCACGTGAGGCTGACTTTATTATTTTAGCCTCGCGTGTGAACCTCTTACGCTAACAATTAATTGATAGTTAATGAAATTTTTAAATCTTTTATCTAAATCCTAACAAATTTTACTGCAGGACTTAAATCCTAATTTCTTTACTATCTCTCGATGACCGTATCATCACATGAACGATTAATCCAATCAAGCCTATAAAATGTGGGATGTGCTATCCACATCCCATTGTACTTTTCACACACCTATTAATAATTTTTGTTCATTAATCTTTTTCAATTTATCCGATCCGACAGTCGAAAATTAAAAAATGTATGAGAAATAAAATGATGTAGGTGGATTTCACATCCCTAAAATGTTGTTGCAACTTGCAGATTGAAAAGTCAAAAGCCAAGTCCAAATCCTTTTAAAATACAATAAAAGCCGCTTTATTCCACCTGGGGCCAGTGGCAAGAGTAGAAAGGCCAACTGCCGTCCAATGTAGAATAGTTAACCAACAGTGACAGGTCCGCTGAATTGAAACCCGTAGGACTAGGATTGCCTGTATCGTTCTTATCCAATACTCAATGCGTCCGACATCCGGCTCTACTTATACTTTTTGCCCATCCTGCTCACCCAATCCAATCCAATCCAATCCAATCCGGCAGGAACCCACAGTACTGTATATTTATCCATCTGCTTTCTTTTCTTGCAACACAAACACCTCCAAATCCAATCCCATCCCCTCTAATCCCCCCATGGATTTCTCCTGTGTTGGTATTAACTTCCCCAAATGGCGCAAAAGCCTTCAAAACCTGCTAATCTTTGCACACTGCTTAAAGATCGTACTGATAGTGGCGCTTAGCCATCTGGGACTGCTCAAACCTGCAGTACAGATCTCTGAGCCAACTGCTGACTCCATGGACCACCATCCGAATCCGACCAATTCGATACTGGCGATCGATCCCCTGTGCCCGTCGATAGTCCCGGTCCCTATCCACGTTCTAACAGAATACATCAAGAGGCGGCTCCCGGTGGTGGAATTTAGTCAGGTTTTCGAAAAATACACAAAACTTGGACATCAAGATACTGCTTGCAGTATATGCTTGGAGTGCATAGAGAGGGGCCATGAGGTGAGGGAGCAGTCTAACTGCGATCATTTGTTTCACAGGGAGTGTCTGGATAGTTGGGTCAATCGGGGCCATGTGACCTGCCCCTTGTGCCGAGCTACGCTGTTTCCGGCCAAGAGCAAAACTGCGAGCTGCGGCGGAGGAAATTTAGGGACGACGGAGAGGGGTGATGCCTACTTTGATAGGTTGGAATTCATTGTGAGATGAGTAGTTTTTATGAACTCTTTCCCACAAGCCGCGGAATGTGTATAGTAGTAATATTTCTTTGAACATTTCTACAAAATTACTAGTAGTTAACTTATGGAAATTACCAATTCAATTACTTGATGTATACATATTTGTTGTTTAAAATGCTGGAAGGATCATAAAATTCTATGCCTAATATCTGAATGATTTAATTAGCATGTTAAAACCAACTGGCATTACTTCATTTATGATATGAACCTCTGTGAAACCAACCAACAAACACCTTGCCTGCAATAAAAAAAATGGGTTCAAATTAATTTTTTTTTCTTTGGACATTTCTCACTCTGGTTAGAAAATGTTTTTATAAGACAAAGTTCAGGGAAAAACATTTAGAAAAACACCGAGAAAGGTTTGAAAAGAGACTTTTCAAAAACAAAAAAAATGAGAGTACTTGAAGCTTATGGAGTACATAGAACAAAACCGAGCCCAATAATTTTCTAAATGTTTCGAGCTGGTCGTTGCTTGACTGTGGCAACGGATAGGGTAAAACTACCCATAATTTCTCTAGACCCGAAAAGAGTATATAATCGTAGCTTGCCACCAATTGTTTTTTTTCTTAAAGAGTAAAAAATACAACCAACCCTACTAAATAAAATAAAACTTTGTTGTTGTTGAACATTTCTTACACTAGTTTTTATTTCATCCGTTAAGCATCTTAAGAAATTACCAATTGGATTAATTATTTTTAATTCTAAGTCTCATCTCAATGAATTAGACATAAATTATTGACTCTCTCAGACATAACAACAAACACCTTGCCTACAACAAAAAATGGGTGCACCTATAGGCGAAGCCACTAAGGGACCAGAGTGGTCCCAGACCCATCCTAACCATTGTGTAAGAAATTTTAACAGTTGTAAGCTTGCAATTGTAGAACCGTAAGACAAAGAATAAAATGAATTGTTTTCATGAAGAAGTTAAGCCGAAAGACATGGTATCTTATATTTTTCTAACAGTTTTATTTGTTTTGTTTTTGTGGATTAGTAAATTTTTCTAACAGTTTTATTTGTTTTGTTTTTGTGGATTAGTAAAACTCAAGAATGAGGTTTTAAAATCAACTTTAATGTTATTTCTAAATCTACCTAATCAACTATTATTTGCACCATACCTTCTATTAAAATATTCAAACCAAATTTCTTTGTATTTTCTTCTCATAATTTCAATTTTTTTTATTGGTTACCTTGCCCTCTACCTCCTACTCTTGTATTATACACCTCCTTTGATTCTCTTTATTAAATTTAATAGGTACTTTAATTTTGTGAAGATCACTTCAATTGCTCATGCTATGAGTTCAAAAAACTTTTCAATACATATATAAAAAACCCTTCCTCACAAAGAATTCTAACTCCGTCATTGGGTGCACAACAAAACCAATCCAACAATTCAGTAATCCAAATTGTGCACAATAATTCTCTAAGTAATACATCTTCATTGATGGCATTGGAAGTGGAAAGGATCCGATTGGAATTACATATTCAAATCGATCTTAGGCATTCAAAATTAACAAGCAAATTCATCAGATCATAACAAGTTTTACAAAAAGCCCCAAATTTAACCAGAAGGATTCGATTCAAAACATCTTGAATTAACCTCCGAAACCATAAAGGGTTCGTCCCTGCCTCTTTAGAGCGTAGACAACATCCATGGCGGTCACCGTCTTCCTCCTGGCATGCTCGGTGTACGTCACAGCGTCACGAATGACGTTCTCCAAGAAGATCTTGAGAACCCCTCTGGTTTCTTCATATATGAGGCCGCTTATGCGCTTCACACCTCCTCTGCGAGCGAGCCTTCGTATGGCGGGCTTGGTGATCCCCTGGATGTTGTCCCTCAGCACCTTCCTGTGCCTCTTGGCTCCGCCCTTACCCAGCCCCTTTCCTCCCTTTCCTCTCCCTGTCATTTTCCCGGAAAATTTAAATTTTCTGACTTCCCAAACAAATTTGTTGTGAAAGTTGAAGTGAATCTGTTGAATGAAAAATTGACTAGGAAGGGGAGGTTTATAGTGGGGAGCGGAATCGAGCGATCTCTGAATTTTTGGCGTTGCCGCCTCAGCTGAGCTTTGTGCGCGGATTTTCCTTTTCTTTTTTTTTTAACTGGCGCCGTTGGATCGAAATTTATCGACGGCTGGCCAGGTCGATCCTCGTGAATGAAATTGTACTAACTGAATAGTTTATTATGGGCCATCTAACGGCTGAAATAAGATATTGAAAGAGTACTTGGATCGTGCAGATACGGTTTCGCCACTGCCGCTGTTTTTTTTTTTCTTCTTCATTTTAATCATAAATAGGGTAAATATGATCCCATTTAAGTATGAGTTTTTATCGTTTATAGCTAAAATTTAGTCTTTACTTTCAAAAATATCAATCTTTATAATATCTTTCAAATATAGCAGAAAATCAGCTTGAACAGACCTAAATACCCTTAAAATAAAACCAATTTACAAAAGCTAAAACATGTTTGATCTTCTGTGTTTGTTCAAAGATGGAGACTAGAACTAAATAAAATGAAAATAGACAGAGACTGCAGAGGGAGCACCTCTACAAGTTCCACCGGTATATACTTGAGTTAATAGGATAGCAATTATAAGAGGATTAACGTCTATAATTTTTTCAGTTCCATATAAAAAAAAATTTTGGTTCCATACACTTATGAGTTCGTATATATTAGCGTTAGTTTCTTGCAATTAGGTTTTAACTTTTAAGATATACTATGTCTTTTTTTTAGTTAAAATTTGTCTTTTCAATTTGATTGGTATTATTTCGTTATTGAATTTCAATTTTTTGTGAGGGAATCATAGTGGTTGTTTGGCCTTAGTATCTACAATATAATAAAGTATTATTATTTTGTAAAATTGTTTTAACCGAAAATGATGGAAGTTCCCATCAGGCTACCTGCAAATTAGAAAGAAACCGAATTAGATTTTGGTGTATATGTTTAAAGTTGTTGAAATAGGGCTCGGCTTGAAGACTTGGTTTATTGTACAGAGGAAGAAGATGAAGAAGGGATGGCGAGGGAGCATCCCAATAACACGAGTTTTAATTTTATGGGTATTAGGTCATTTCAATCAGATTTTTGCTATATTTAAAAGAATTTATAAAAACTGACATTTGTGAATTTAGAGAGTAAATTTTGGTTGGAATTGATAAATACTCTTTAAGTACTGTATGCTTCATATATTACTTTTTAAATTTTCACAACGTCATACATTAAAATTTAATTAAAATATCGTACATTTGTTACAAATTTGTTAAAGAAATCGTTTACATGATGATGTAACAAGACAAAAATAAGTTAAAAATAATTATTTAAAGTAATTATTTAATATAATAGGCCCCACATCCTTCTTCTCTAGCCAAACTTACACCATCTCCAACTGAGGATTAGGCCAAAGGGCTCGTGGGCCTCACGGAATCTGAAAGGGCCAAAGGTTGGCCCAAATGAGCCGGCCAGTCAGCACCGGGCTGGGCAAAAAAACTCACCATTCCTGTCGATTATATCTGACAAGAATTCTAAGCCAAAATTCAAATGCAACAGCTAGCTGATGTTAGCTAGCCGTTATTTTTGAATTTTGTTTTTTTACAGTTTTAATTTTTATGTTTTTTTTTTACAAATTTTTTTTCCTATAACTTCATTTTTTAAATTCTATTTTTTCCTATAACTTCCTAAGCCACTATACAACATTAAATTAAATTAAGTAACATGAAACAACATTAAGCAATATGAAACAACATTAAATTCTCATTTTTCCTACAAATTTAAGTTGTTGTAGTTTTTAAATTTAATTTGTAGTTTTTAAATTTAAGTTGTAGTTTTTAAACATAAGTTTGTAGTTTTAAAATTTAAGTTGTTGTAGTTTTTAAACATAAGTTTGTAGTTTTTAAATTTAAGTTGTAGTTTTTAAATTTAAATAATAAATTATGTTTGGCCCTTGATTGGATATGATTTTTTGTGGCAGGGCTAAAACAAGTCATATGGCCCTTTGGCCCTCGGTTGGAGATGGAGGCAAATATGGTAATGTACTATTCATTAAATATTAATATCTTTGAGGTCTAGAGGGCTAAAACAAGCCATCTGGCCCTCGTTCGGTTGGAGACCACACCTTGCAACCCAACTTCTCAAATTCGTCGCATGACCTCTCTCAATCCTATCCTACCCCCTCCATTTTCCACAAGCCGCCCAATGGGGTAAACTTCTGGCAAGATAACGACACGCCGTTGAGTTTCAAAACGCCATTAGACAGGGTGATGTTGATCGAAAGCCTCACCTGATTAGTCCTCAAAAACAACTTATTTAACATATGTTTAGCGGATGTAATTACAACTTGTATGACATTACAAAATTTAAAAGATGATGTATTAAGTTCTAATTGTACACTAACTTCAGGGTGAAAAATGCAATTTATCCTAATTTTTCTTAAGGGTAAACTGCCTATGCCCCCAAACTATTACAAGATTGTTGTTAAACACCCCCCCCCCAAAAAAACAAAAAAACTACTTTTTTTGCTGATTTTCTCCCTTAACTAGTACGAAACAGCCAATTACTCCCCTATTGCTAGATTTTAGAGAATTTTATCCAAAAATTTGTTAAGTGGTGTAAAAGTAACTTATGTGGATGGTGAAGAACCTTCTGAAGCACAAGTTGACATTGATGAATAGCAGATATGAACAACGCAAATATGCCAGTGCCTAAATTCATGGATTTAGTGAGATAGAAAGACAAGTTTGTCCTCATGCCTTTCACATGTCACCACTTAAAATGAAATTTGGATCAAATTCTTTCAAATCTAACGGTAAAGGTTATTAGCAATCCTATAATAATTCAATCTGTTTTTATTGGAGGATTGTCTAATATTGATTCAATTTGAATTGTTGGAAGAGAGATCCAAATTCAGATGCATAGAGGGAGCACAACTCCTCTAATTAATTGGTTGATGACAATGCTATTATGTTCCCGCACTAGAAATT